ACCAACTGACAAGGACCTCCTAACACTTAGAAATCAATGGTATAATATGATGAAGCTTAAAATGCAGTGAAAAATACCGTTTTTACTAGAAGAATCTGTTGATCAAAGCATTTGTATTAAAGACAATTCCATTAACAGAATTACTGCAGGTAACTTAAAAGCTTCATTAGTATGAAATATGAGCAATTTAGGATTATTTAAGGTGTTAACATTATTACCTCTTTGGATTTCAAAGTACAATTAGCCACTTCATTTATCATTTTTCACATAGATCACTGGAGAGTTGAGACTTCTTGTTAGTCAAGTGGACTGTCTAGCTCCATGAGAGATGTGTGGCATGAGGCTTGAACATCAATATCATTCCAAGATATTCAGCCATGCTAGTATTTCTAATTTCATATACAATCATTACCTAAAATATTATTTTTTTAAAAAAAATTCTCATTTTTTTCTATTTCAGTCTATATTTAATAGACAAGAGATATTTACTTATTGTAAAGGAAGGCTAATTTCATGATCTTTTTTTTACTTTTTCTCTTCCTTAGAAACTAAACAAATGATACATGAAAAGTGTATTTTTAGTGTATATACTACATAATTGCTAAAATATATTAATTTTCTTATGTATACAAATAAATATAATGTAAATCTATTATTATTGCAATTTTATTTAAAAATGTGAGGCCCCACATTTTCTTCTCTTCATATATTTTTAATATTAATAAAGCTATATAACCCATCATTTTCAACTCTTTTTACAGATTCATTCTCTTCCCTAGCCTCTTTTTCTTTACGTCTTTGATTCTGTTATTTCCCCTTCTCTCCATCTGGTGCCTCTTCAGACTGTACAATTAAGCATCAACTGTCAGTCTCTTCCCAGTCTTTCAGTATTTAATGGTTAAAAAAAAAAAAAAATCTATACCTAAATCCATGTCTCTATAGATTGGCATTGGGCTCATATAGTTAGACATGCTTCCTATGAAATGAAATATGCAATATGGTCAGTATAAAGTTACTGCAAACCTATAAATATACTTGTCTTATTAAAAATAGTAGAGATCTGAAATTTCATCTAACTATTATAAGTCATCTTGGGAAAAAGGGAAATGACTCAGTCTTCGTTAGTTTATATAGATCAAAGACTACAGCCTTCAGTACGTGTTACACCTCAACATAAAGTAAACAAAAATCCTCACAACTGGGCCAATAAGCAACATCATGATAAATGGAAAAAATATTGAAGTTGTCAAGAATTTCATTTTTCTTGGATATACAATCAGTGCCCATGGAAGCTGCAGTGAAGAAATTCAAAGATGCATTGCACTGGGCAAATCTGCTGCAAAAGACCTCTTTAGAGTGTTACAAAGCAAAGATGCCACCTTGAGGACTCAGGTGTGCTTGACCCAAGCCATGGTATTTTCAATCGCCTCATATGCATGTGAAAGCTGGACAATGAATAAGGAAGACCAAAAAAGAATTGACTCCTCTGAATTGTGGTGTTGGTGAAGAATATTGAATATACCATGGACTGCCAGAAGAAAGAACAAGTCTGTAATGGAAGAAGTACAGCCAGAAAGTTCCTTATAAGCGAGTATGGTGAGACTTCGTCTCACGTACTTTGGACATGTTGTCAGGAGGAATCAGTCCCTGGAGAAGGACATCATGCTTAGTAAAGTAGAGGGTTATTGAAAACGAGGAAGACTCTCAATGAGATAGATTGACACAGTGGCTGCAACAATGGGCTCAAATATAGCAACGACTATGAGGGTGGAGCAAGACCAGGCAATGTTTCATTCTGTTGTATGTGGGGTCGCAATGAGTCGGAACTGACTGCGCGGCACCTAACAACAATAGTTTATATAGAAAATAAACGTAATGATTCCAAAAGTTCAGAGAAACTTCAAATTCTATCACATGGCTCTATATAAGACGGAGTTCAGCATTGACTGAACAGGCAGGTATAGAAAATGAGCAGAGAATGTGGTAGGTCTCCCGATGAGAAATCCTCTAAGTTGAGAGTATTTTGCACTTCAAAAATAATAGGGTTTTTGACAGGTTCGATTGAACAATTAAATCCCATCAGACTATCTGGATTCAGGAGATGATAAATAATGAGCTCCATTGGTATTTTGAATTTTCCGTAGATCACTACTGATATATAGCTTTCATCATGCTTTGTAATTCTCAGTGTATTTATTACAGTTCATATTAGAGCTTGAATATCCTGTAAATGGCACTGCATGTCCTAAAATAATAAAAATGTTGTAAAAATTGGATATTTAATGAACTTGCTGGGTAAGATTGTAAATTACTTAACTTCATGCCAACTGCTTTAATTAGCACACTCGGCCTACCAAATTCAATGGAACATCTTTATAGAATGCCTACCTGTGATTATTTGACTGATATTTGTCATTGCTACTATACAGCAATTAGAATTAATATGCTAATTAATTAGATGACTCTTATGAGTGTGTTTTTAACATATTTTGGAAGGATTGCGTTCCAAAGAATGGGAAAATTGTTTTTTAGAATTAAATAAATAAATACATACATTCTTCCTTTAATGACATAATCTTTGAGTTGTTAGTAATATAATTTAACAACTATTCTTGTGACAATTTTGGATAAATTATTCTTGCTAAGGAAGCAACTGTAGAGTTGATGTAAAATTCAGAAGTTACAAAAGAAAGATTTCCTGGTTTCTATGAGCTGAAGTTTTAAACAACTATTACAGTATTCATGACAAACCAATTTCCTTTTGTGGTTTCCTAAAATTATGAATCTTCCAATGTATCCTTGTTTACCAGTTTTGAAGAGCAGAATTCAACCATAATCTTTATATTCAAGAAAACAAAGTCTGATACAAACAAGTATGAGACAGCTGTTTTAAGAAATCAGAATAGCATAAATATTTGATCAAATCATTGATATTGAATAAAACTCCTTTTTTTGAATTTTACTTTTATTCTTTCTTTCTTTTCTTAATATTATACAGGCAGTAATTCTTGCCAACTAAATAATGGTGGATGCTCTCAGCTTTGTTTACCAACATCTGAAACTACAAGGACTTGCATGTGTACGGTGGGATATTATCTTCAAAAGAACCGCATGTCATGCCAAGGTATAAGGTCTTGAAAAAGCTTTGATGCATTTACTTCATTTACTTCATCTAACATTATATGTCATGCAGATTTTAGGTGACCAAAGTCAGTTAAAAAAACATTAAAAAAAATGCTAGCTTGTTATTAGTTTATTGGCACATTGCTTTGTATTATTTATACAGGATTTTAGAGTAAATAGGATATTTAAAGTAGATAAATGTCTTCCTAACAATTTCTACTTCAGGAACTGCAGTTTGTTATCACAACTTTAACCAAATCCAGTGGCAACTACCATTGAATAGGAGAAAACTGAAGTAAAAAGAAGTGGTTGATTAGCTGGAATTACATCCAGCTTGTATTTACTTATCTTTACTTTTTTTCAACTAAGAAAAAAGCCCCAGAGAGAACGTGAGGGCTCTGTGCTTAACTGATGGAGAAGAGCACGGAAAAAGAATTGGAAACTAAGAAATCTATCTCCATTTCTTGTTTCGTAGAGTCTTGTTTTGTGAGTCTCAAAGAATGTCAATTCTAGAGGGATCTTTTCAGTCCAGAATCATAGCTTAATTTTATTTTAAATAATATTCCAATCTTATATGAGAAATATATGTATCAGTACCATTATTTATTTTACTATCAAATACTTATATGGCACTTACTACATGCCAGGTACTGTTCCAAACACATTACACATACTAGCTCACTTAATTCTCATAGTAACCTTTTATGGTAAGTGTATCATTATCCCATTTTACAGAAGAGGAAACTGAGACACAGAGAGGTTAAGTAACTTGTCCAAGTCACACAAGTAGGAAGTGGTGGAGACAAATTTAAACCCAGACATTCTGGTTTTAATAAGAAAATATGTATATATAAATCATTTCTATTAGAAAAATCCATAAGCATCAGCATGTAGAATTCTGGTAGTGTATGTGTGTATACACACACACACACACACACACACAGAGAAACGTACACTTACTTTACAACATGCTTTTGATCTGGGAAAAGCAAGCTATTATTAGTAAAAATTAAGCACTTAGAGTATTTTTAGTGTTCCAAAGGATTTAAGAAGTCTAACTGTCCCATTGGAATTTAAGTCATAGAAAAATAACAGTGCTATAGTTAGAGAAAAAAATAAAGAAAAGCAAAACATATCTAAAATCAAAGTTTATTTTCATATATAAGCAACGAGGTGCTTAGATTTTAGAGAAGAGGGAGTCGATTTTGGTTGTAAACCAGGTATTCCTCCAAGAAGAATTACCTCCCTCAGTGTTGAAGAAAGCATGGCCCTCAGGCCGGTAGCATAATTGTCAACTGCAAGCTTGTAGAAATGTAAATTATCAGGACCTACTAAATAAGAAACTGGGAGTAGGGCCCAGCAATCCGTGTTATAACAAATCCTCTAGGAGATTCTGACGCATACTCAAGTTTGATAAACACTAATTGTGACCCACCTTTCAACTGGTCAGGAAGTGTGGTATATAATCTTTAAAAAAGAAAGAAAAAAGTTAAGAAAAAATTTTACGAAAGTAAATTTAGAGTGTTCAGATAACATTAATGAAATGAGTTTTAGTCTGAAGTGTTCATTTTGAGCTTCCTCTCACCCGCATTTAGGTATAGAATCCTTTCTTATGTACTCTGTGCATGAAGGAATCAGGGGAATACCTCTTGAACCAAGTGACAAAATGGATGCTTTGATGCCCATATCAGGAACCTCATTTGCTGTGGGAATCGATTTCCATGCAGGTAAGTAGCTGTTTATTCATAATTTATGTATAATGTATTCGCTTGATTTATTAAACTTGATGGCAATATAACCTTTCTATCTGTACTCTGATGGTCAAGATGAGAAATAAGGATGAAAATTAGAGGTGGATTTTTAATCTATCGCTAATTCTTCTAAACATGTTTTAGATGAAAACATCAAGTAAAATTTTCCTAATATATAGCATTTGAATTACAGGTAAATTAACATGTCGTGATTGGCATTTGGTTGCTTCATTTTTATTTTTCTCTTTGTTTATTAATGACACCTTTACTTTTTCTAGTCTATAAATATAAAGGAGACATATAAGGTATTTTGATCTAATATATACTTAAAACGTAATATTATTTGAAATATTTTCAGGATATGATTATCCATTCTAATGCAAGCAGTGGAAAACGAAATCCGAATAATGGGAAAAATGATCTATGCTATGCAGTTTTAAATTACGTTTGAATACAGTATGTATCATTCTGGAGTCAGGTTTACTTTACCTTCTTATGTTTTAGCAAACACTGAAAGAAGGCAGATTGGACACTAACATTTGGTATGGATAACATAAATGTATGATTGGGAATTGATGGTAGACACTTTTAAATTTATTGAAGAAAATAAGTTTATTTTTTAATGCTAATTGCTAAATTTAGATGTAATCTTAACATTGGGTACTCTTCTCTCATTGATATTCAAACATATTATTCTACACTTTAGACTTCAAACTTACAAAAACAAATCTCTTCACCTTTCATCCAAAAATATGCTTCCTGATTTAATGTTTTAGTGTTGAAGATTCACATGCATCTTCTTGGTGTTTTTATACGTATAAAGACTTAATTTTGTCTAATGTCAAAATACGTATGGCTCTTTGGTTTATAATCTTAAAAAAAAAAAGTCCTTAAGCATCTGCATGCGGGCTTCTGGTAGTAAGCTTATTTTTTCCCCAGCTATAACACAATTTGTTTAATCATGTGTTAATGAAATTCTTGGCTACAAATTAATCAGTTCCTGGGGATCTTCACAAACTTCTCAAAGATGACTTTTCTGAATTATTTGGTGCCAAATGTTTAGGATTGCATAAAAGCAAACTTGCTACAATTTTTAAAAGGCCTTTCTCAAAAGAAAATACAGACGAATATAGCATATTTTATTGAAAAATATGCTAATTTTGCCAAAACAATATGCTAATTTTGCCAAAATCATAGTGTGATTTTGATCAAAAAGGCTGTTTGTTCAAACCTCAGTATTCATGGAAGGCATAATCTACCCTGCCACCTATTTACGTACATCCTGTTCTTTAGAATTTGATCATATATGACGTTTCAAGTGCAAAGCTAAGAGAATTTTAATTTCTCGGAAAAGATTTTTTGCACATATGTATGTATTTTTAATAAGTCTGTGAACCCTTGTTTCAGCTGACATCACATATTTGATTCTTTTAAAGACTCCATACTGGCTTTTGAAAGTATTTGATAAATTTCTATGAGGCAGAAATATTCTGTTTAGAATATAAATGTTTTGATTAGAGCATTAGGAACTCTCTTGCAACTTAAGGGTAAACTGATTACCAGTATGAGTTGAATTCACTCTCTCGGGTTTTATATAGGCCTTGAAATGTTGAAGTTCAATGTGCCGTGGAAACGTTAGCAATTAGTCTCTTCTACAGGAGAATTTTACTTGCAGAAAATAGTGCTCTTCACGTTATCATAAACTTATTTTGTATCAAAGTAGCATTTCATGAGGAGAAGCTACCTGACATTACATATGATTTTGTGATCATCACATCAGTATCATAAAATTAGGCTGCAAGGATTGTTTTCCTATATTATAGATACCAAACTGAAACCAAACTAGCTGCAGTCAGGTTAATTCCGACTCATGATAACCCCTCGTGTTGCAGAGTAGAACTGTACTGCATAGGGCTTTTGCCATGATTTTCTTCCGAGACACCTCTGTGTGGGTTTAAACCACCAACTTTTCAGTTAGTAGATGAGCACTTAACCTTTTGTGCCACCCAGGGACTCCAGCAAGGCACACAGAATACAGAGATACCTTACAGCTTATATTATACAAGGATACTTTACAGCACTCATTTCTGTTCAGTGTCTGATTTTTCATACTTTTCATATTCTTCATACTGTGCCTGCCTTATTTTTAAATTATATGCTTGTAAAGAAATTATTTTCAGAAATCTATTTCTTCTTCTAAAGGTAAAATTATGTAGCATATGGAATAGCCGTATAGATATAATGTTCAAGAATCTGTAAAAGCTCTACCTGTTAAACCAAAAACAGTAATGCAAAATTTGCTTTGAAACTGTAGAGGGTTAGAGACCTAGGGGCTGGTAGAGCATACAGTGGGAAGAGTCTAGACTTTAGCAACAGATAACTTGGTTTCTGATTCCTGTTCAGCCACTTACTAACAGTGTGACTTTGGGTAAGTTACTTAATTTTTCAGTTTCCTTATTTTTGGGGGTGTAGGAATATTGATATATATGTATGCAAATGTTTGGCAAAGCACCTGATGTACAATAGGTGCTCAGGAAATGTTAACTATATTTAATAATTAAAAAGAACATATTGTAGAAATTAACTTAGGTGATACTCTATATCTATATACGTAGACATAGATATATTAAACAAGCATGTTGTCCTGGAAGCTATATTTAAACTCCTAATTAGCAAGGACTTTTATTTTCCTCTTCTCTTGATAGATACAATATTTTCTATTCAGATATTTGTATAGAATAATAGGTGTTTCTTAACTGCTTGATACAATAAGGGTAAGTTAATTTCCCTAGTGAAGGTGAGCTTAAATATACAGAAGACAAAAACAATCTGTAAAACAGATACTTAAAGATCAAATAACATCACCAGGAATTTAAATCATTAAATGTAAACTTAGAAGGCTAGCATATAGTACTTAAACAATGAGCCGATGAAATATTAATGATGATGATAATGATGATGATGACAATGGTGGTGGTATTAAGAGCTTTTAGCCCCTTCAAATTCCTTTTGTACTTCCATCTGATTTACAGTCTGATACTTTACTATTTGTGTTCCATGAAACTACAGTAGGATCAGAATAAGTGTCAGGAACTTGATTTATAATTGTAGGCAATATACAAGGTCTGAAACTTGGTTAAGTGAAGTTGCTTCAGGGAGAAAATTAAAAAAAAAAAATAACTTGGTTATTCCTTAGAAAGATAGAGGAAACAAACAATTTTTGATGAGATGACCTCTATCTCTTTCAATTTCCATGGCCTTCATGTTTCACCTGATTCCTAGATTCTTCATCTAATAATTCCCTTTGCAGATATTCTAGTTCCTCTTCCTCCATTAATGACATTCGGCTCAGTGACATAATCCTTACTTTAGGAACTACTAAAGTTAAAGATAATAAAATGGAAGGGCACAATTGCTCCTTATTCTAATCAAATGGCTTCCATCATGAGGAGGTGGAGTGGAAAAAGATCATTTGTTAAGTACAATTATCATGATCTATGCAGTATTATTTCATTACTGTAATTTTATTGGGATAAATATACACCCTTTCCTCACTTAACAGCATGGTTAGGTTCCAAAGACTAGGGTGTTATGCAGAATCTATGTTATGCAAAAATGGAGGATGACCACATCAGATCACAAAATGGAGGATGACTACATCATTTGATAACTGCTAAATTACATCATCATAACTACCAAAACACTGAGAATCACGGCCCAGCCAAATTGACACCTAACCTTAACCATCACAGCCAGCATTACTCTCGCTTTGCACCTCAGTGTTCATTACTGCCAGACATACATCTTACATGCACAAAATAGTCAGATACTAGATTTTTTACTATTGTCATAAGTGCAAAATGTTGGATAATGAGATAGTTGATAAGTGAGAAGAAGGTATATTGTTAAAACATATACATTTCATATGGATTAACAGATCTAAATTTTGCTGGGCTTGGTCCTAATGAATTAAAGCTTTTCACAATGAAAGAATTTCTTTCACCAGATGAAGCAATTTTGGATACTAGCCACAGAAGAAAGAATACCCTGTGGCTAGATTTAAAATGTTCAAAGCATTCTTATCACTTCACTGAAAAAGTCCCATTCCACTGAAAAAAAATTTTTGAGCTTTGAAAACCCTTGCCTGCTGAGTGATATTCCTCCTGATGAATGAACACTTCATTTGATGCTTTAAAAGATATATTTTAGTTAGAAGAAAAGCCTTCAAAACAATTCCCATTGCTCCAGTCAGTTATGTGATCTTTAATAAGTTGTTCTCTATTCAGACTCCCCTCTCTTTGGGCATATTTATGACTTTCATATTAATCAAATAATAGAATGTTATTTCAATAGAAGACATGTTATTTATCTGAAATTTTCAATCTTGTATATATTTTTTCATTTTTATCTCTTTTGTAAAAATTTGAGTCATTCAACTCAATGTAAGAAATGTTGATTACTATCTGCTAGGTGTAGAACATCACAACCAAGTTACTATGAAGTATAAAGATAAATAAGAAATAGTTTCCGAGGTAATATATGAATAGATAATCTATAGAGTTTTTTTTTTTTTTAAAGAGAGGGTCAGATGACTATTATCTGGATTCCATTGTTTGGAACTTACTGTGTGGAATACTCTAAGGCTTTTTTACACCATTACATAGTGAACTGGATATTAAGACAATGAAAACACTGAAGGAGAATATGTGATAAAATATCTTTGCCGTATTCCATAGTGAATGTCTCCTATTTACATGAAAGAATCCTTCCATAATAATCCCCTAAAATATACATATATCTTTCAATTTTAGAGCTAGGAAAAGCATTTGATACCATCTAGTAGCATCCCTCATGTTACAGATAAGGAAACTGAACTCCAGAGAGATCAAGAGGCTGTATAGTAATAAGAGTATTGTATTTCCAGTTCTTTCCACTATACCATCTTGCATTTGTACCACAGAAATGAAATTTTATTG